CCCCCCCCGCCCGGGGAAAGATGCAGACCCGACTGGGAGGAAGGGGAGCCCTCATTTTCATAAAGGCCGCAGGAACCATTCATTGTCCACTGATCCTACTGTGTCCTGAACTACTCAGCCCAGGGATCCCAGGTCCTTCCATCAGGGCTCCTGGTCTTCCAGGACTCCCCTCTACCCGCATCTTCTCCCAGGTCAACTCTCTGCTCCCCGAAACCTGCGGGAAAACAGACATTCAGGGGCTTAGCGCCACCGCGTGGCCGACGAAGGCGCTGCGTCAGGTGTGTAGTGACTGGGGGTCCCGCTGTCTATGTCGCCCTCTGGCGTCTTAGAGGGGGAAGAACGTAGGAGAATTCAACAATCTTCATAGTATTAGAGCTTTAATTAAGAAAACCATTAAACGATTCTCAGTTAACGTTTAGTGAGCGCTCGCGAAGCGTCAGGCACCGAGGCCACTAAGCTCATTTCCCATGTCATTCATTTCACTCTTAGAGCAACGCCATAATACAGAACACCATTTTCCAGGTGAGGAGAACTGAGGCCAACTGGGACTTGCCTAGGATCCCACAGCAGCAGGGACAGAATGGCCATCTGAATTCATCATCACAGCGGGAAAGCGCTCATGACGCCCTCACTTCCACACCCATGGTCGCTAATGATCACCCTCCCAGTCTCTCAAGATAAATAGGACAGTGCCGCATTAAAATTATTCCCGTTTCAAAGGGTGAGGTGGCTTATGCCTCTTATCCCAATGGCTTGTGAGGCTGAGGCAGGAGGATTGCGAGTTCAAAACCAGCCTCAGCGGGCTGGGGTTGTGGCTCAGTGGTAGAGCGCTTGCCTAGCATGCAAGAGGCACTGGGTTCTATCCTCAGCACCACATAGAAAACTAAATAAGCAGAATAGAGATGTTGTGTTCATCTACAAATAAAAGATAAAAAAAAAAAGCCCAGCATCAGCAACTTAGTGACGCCCTAAGCGATTTAGTGAGATCCTGTCTCAAAATAAACAAATTAAAATGTGGCTTAGTGATTAAGTGCCCCTGGGTTCAATCCCTGGTACAAAAACAAACAAATAAGGAGAATCAGAGAAGTGCAATGCAATGCTGGAGATTTCAGGTAGCCACACATGAAGTCCAGGTCTGGAGACCTCTGATCTAGGGATTTTTAGGATGAGGCAGCTGAATGAAGGTGTTTTCGCTTCAGTAGTAGGAGAGAGCAAGAAGCTCTTGGAGGGCCACTCTTCCATTGGCAAGCCACTCCAGGAGAGGGGAAGGAAGTCCCTGCTCTCCCCGAGGGCGCTGAGTGTTCACGGGAGCTGACGCTCCAGTGTCTTCCCTGGTTCAATGACTATATGTATAATTTTGCATATGCCATGTGCCACATTTAGTGTTGCTGTCTTAAATGGAACCTTCCTGCTTATGATGGACCCCTAACATTCATCTACTGTGAGAGTGAGAAAAAATGCTGCCTCCTCCCACTTGCCGTCCTGAATTACCTGCCCTACTTCCCAGTGAGTTCTTGGGTCTACTGCTTCCTTGTTTTCCTGCAGAGGTGCTGACTCCATGCAAGCCTCTGGGGGCTGTTGGTGGTTTGTTCTTACTGGCTTGTATGTTGGGCACCCAGTGTACATTATTGCCCAGTTTTGCTGTAAACTTTGGCCATATGTTTTCTTTTAATATTTATTTTTTAGTTGTAGTTGGACACAATACCTTTATTTTATTTATTTATTTTTATGTGGTACTGAGGATGGAACCCAGGGCCTTGTGCATGCTAGATGAGCACTCTACCGCTGAGCCACACCCCCAGCCCCCACATTTGGTTTTGATTTTGTTACCGAGTTGCTGTTTTTAAGTGGCAATTCAAAACATATGCCTCTGTCATGGCTGCTTTCTTTTCTGCTATTCTAAACTAATGTGCTGGGGGACACCAGGGGTTCTGTTGCAAAATCATCAAAGGAAATCCAAGGGGCTTGTGGTCACCATTTATAAAGCTCCAGGTAAAGACACAGCTGCCAGTGTGGCTTAGAGTTTGGGGAAATTTTCAGTGAACCATCAGCTATGGGGCATGTTGGTCCCCCCCATGTGACACTAAATACACTTACCAGATCCTGGACTTCCAAAGTCCGTCAGTGGCCATCTTGCCCCACCAAAGAGAATGCCAACTCAGTTGTCACCTTTTCTCATCGTGGATGGCTCTTCTGTGTTCCCTTCTTGGTAGGATTTGTTGTCATTCTGGCAATGCTTCAAGGGCTGGAGAAATCCATCCAGAGGTGACCTTCATCTAGACTCCCTGGACGTGTCCCCAGGTGGCCTTTCTTAACACTTTCCTACCATTTCCTTCAGCTACTAGATGATACTAGATTGTTTCCTGCTAACTACAGAGTCTCCCTTGCAAGAGCTGTGTTTAAAGGTACCATCCGGACCACCTCTGCCTGCCAATGTTAGTGTCCTCTGCAATGACCATGGCTCCAGGATGTCCCCAAGGCTGCTACAGTGTGGGATCGGTTGGTAATTTCCCTGCCTAGACACCAGTTCACGGTCTGGTTATGAGTCCATGTGTAATTCCCATCCATCCTCCATCTGTCCCTCAGGGGCTGCCAGAGATGTACTCCGTGCTCAAGGTTTTAACATCACACTGGAAGGGGAGGGACACAGGGATGTGACCTCAGAGCTGTGGCCTTCCATGGCTAGCTAATTCTACTTCCTACCAAGCAGGTCTGAGAACCATTTCATGAGCATTTTCTCTTGGAGCTATCCCTAGTACATTCTTACAAGCCAATGCTATTTTGCATGGTGTAGGTAGGCTACTGGTTGAAGATAAGTGTTTCCATATTTTTCCTACAGTCAGTTGAGTTAATCTTTGTGGCATTGTACCCATGCAAGTCTGTTAGTCCTTAAGGTCCAGTATCAGTTAGCTATGGCTTTGTAACAAACAATCCTCAAACACAGGAGATTAAAATACTAACAATTTATTATTGCATGCAAGTCTGTGTATCTGCTGGGCAGTTCTTCTGGTCCCAGACATGTTTACTTAATGTACTATGGTCAGCTGGGACTTGGGTAGGCAACTCTGCTGATCTTGGTTGCAGTCTCTCACCTGTTGGGGGTCAGCAGGCTATTTCAGCATAGTCTGGAATGGGACTGTTGGGTTCTCCTCCATGGAGTCTATCTTCCTCCAGTAGAGCTTGAGTCACAGCTTGTCCACATGGAGTTAAGGTATAAGATTGACACAGTGTCACTGCCTCCAAGTTCTGTTGATCACACATGCCACAGGGTCAGCTCAGATTCAGAGTGGGATAAGACTCCAGAGCCACAAGGCGAATGGCGCAGGTTCAGGAAGGCAATAATTGGGTCCACAAGTACAATTAACCTAACACAGGCTTCATGAGTTTCCCTATAACAGCTGATTACTGTGACAGTGAATTCCGGCTGCTCAGACTTTGGTTGACAACAGGATCATTATTCCATCTTCCCTAGCATTAGTATTTCCCAACAGATTTTAAACAGTTTCTGGATTTTTATGATCAGTCTTCACAACTGCTACCCACACACAGAGAAAATTGAATCCCTAGACATCTGGGTGGCAGCTAGACTGCCTCTCCATTCAGCTCATCGCATCATGCACCTGAGTTTAGCTGCAAGTAACAGAAAACCATCTTGAAGAGACTTAAAAATACTCAAATGTAGTATCTCTCACATGGGGAAATCATAAGAAGGCCAGTTGATTTAGGGTTTTGTTACATCTGTCTGTTCAGCTGGGTTTGGCGTGTGTCCACCCTTTGGAAGGGAGCAAGCCTTGTGACCTTGTATGGCAACATCCAAAGGAAGAAGAGAGAGCAGGTCTTTCTATTCCTGGGTCTCTTTCTTAAAACAGAGGGAACTTCCCCCACCAAGAATCACCATTACTGGATATTTTCCTTTTCCCTCCTCCACCTTGCTCCACCCTGGAAGCAGGCCATCTGTGCAATGGCGGCAGTGGGCTGCCCCACCATTTTGTTGGCAGGTAATATGGCCAATGTGGCAGGTGGAAAGTGAGATGGAGGTATCCAGCCACCTGGCTCTACCTCTGCTGGTTTGCCATGGGTTGGGGCCGGTCCCCTATCAGGCATCTCTCCAGGTAGTGCCCTCTGTGGGTTGAGGCCTAGATGTGGCGAGGGCCCCCTCCATTGCTGGTCAGGCCTTTGTCTCTCTAAACCCACGCATTTGTTGATAACCCTGTTCTTCCAGTTTGAAGGTCATTTGCTTTCTGTTGGGACCCTGACCAATTCTCTCCCCCAAAATCCTTCCTCATTGGCTAGAAGGTGAATAAGCTGTCCATTCCTGAAAAAAGGAAGAAACGATGTAAAATGAATATAGAGAAAATAATAAATAAATTCCAACATAACTGGGATTCCCCATGAAGAAGTCAGAAAATAATGCAATAGGAAAACATGAGAATAAATAATTTCACACTTTTCTAAAATAAAGAATGATCTTTACTTATATAAAAATAACTCAGAGATTGAAAAACATGGCATGTCCCAGAGGAGGGCGGCGATCACGTGACGTGACGGGGCATCCTGGCGGTACTGGATTTCAAGCATACAGAAGGATGCCCATGGACTGCCACAGGAAACAGGAAACAAAGCCAGGCCTGCTGCATACAATGGGAAAACACTGCTCACCCATTCAACAAATGTCTATGCTGA